ATGTGTAGAGCCCAATTGATTCCCGTTCTTTTTTGTACAGGCGATGTAAAGAAACCAACACCGTATGAGTGTAAAGACACCCTCTCCCAAAGTCTATGCAGACACTACTCGTCAGGATGCACTGTGAAGGGGGACCAAATCAAATGGGCTATCAAGTATTGCCCCAGGACCTGTCAACTGTGTGGTAAGAAAATAACTTTAACATCATATATACCCAGGGAAACAAATAAGCTAAAAGATGAAAGTACAAGTGTTCCTTTTTTTATTTCCGGATTTTCACCCACAGTGTAATAAAACATGACAAGAGACCCGGAAAAGAGTACAGGAACACATGTACTTTCGTGTGTTCCTTTATTTGTTTTCATGAGTATATCAATCACGAGCATGTCAACTTTTATTTTTCTTATGAAGTGAGTGAGTGAGTTTACTTCATACATTGTACCCATGTGGGGAATCGAACCCGGGTATTCGGCGTGACGATCACTAGGCTACCACACCGCCCCTTATTTTGTACTGTAACACGTTTCAGTGAGTGAGTGAGTTTAGTTTTACGCCGCTTTTAGCAACATTCCAGCAATATCACGTCGGGGGACACCAGAAATGGACTTCATACATTGTACCCATGTGGGGAATCGAACCCGGGTATTCAGCGTGACGATCACTTGGCTACCCCACCGCCCCTTATTTTGAGTTTAGTTTCAAACCAAAACATGAGTCTCATTAACCTACTTTTCAGCCGATCCGAATTTGAAAGCTTATTCAGTGTATATAGTTTTGTAACGCACAATGCGATTGATATAAGCAGAGCCTCGTTTTGAGATGTCCACGATTTCCAGATTTCCGTTTGTCAGAGCACGCTGTACGACAGAGCACGCTGCACGACGTGTTTGCAAGGATAAGAAGGAGCGTAGTATTGCAATATATAAGTGCTTAGATGTATCAAATAATACTGATTAATATTTATGTATCCATGAATGAATTGGTCTAAAAATTCTGGACTGGTTATTGTACTAAGCTGCGCAATAGGACGGAACCCAGTTAGCAGGAAACGAGACTGTTGTGTAATCAATGTTTTGACTTGACGCCCCTTGCTAGCAATAACACAGCGGGGACACCAGATATGGGCTTCACACATTGTACCCCACCCGTTTCACATGGATCTGGTGTAGAAAGGTCCTCAACAACTGTACACGACACGACACTGTTACGACTTCCATAGTTTCTCAAGCCACACGTATGTAGCGTTTAGAGATCCGAATTCTAGTCCTGCAGTGGATACAATGTGTGAAACGTAGGCGGATCCAGAGGGGTGGTGGTGCCCCCCCCCCCCTTTCTCCTGAAACTTCATTAAATAGCCATTCTACCATGAATCAAGAAAATACTAGATTCTGATTGGTTGTTCAAGAAAAATCAGACGGCATCAATTGTGGATTGACGCTCATCTGATTGTAAGGCCGCTTCACCGCGCATTGACAAATCTTATTGTGAGAACTACTTCCGTTTGACCCACAATCGATGGCGGATCATAACAACAACTCCATGGATTTTGACGCTGACTTTCGAATTTTCCACACAGGCAATTGGAAATTTTTGGATTAAAAATGCGTTTGATTTCATTTGCGCTTCACTGCGCACGTATAGAACACTGCCGCACTACTTCAGCTTGACCCACCAACATGACTAATATCAACACAACAGACGTGATGGAAATGCTGATAAAACATTTATTTAAACTCGAAAAATACAGTTATATGATTTCCCCAACAATTATGAGGGAACTTCACTATCATATTACCTTCTATTATAAAAATATCCAAACTCAATTACAATACACAGCCCCAAACATAAACAAAACAATATCTAACATATAAATCAGAAAGCCTTGTAAACATACATCCCTATTTATACAAAATATGCAGCAAAACATTCGTAAACATTTACCTACCTGGTAAATGGTATATTTAATTCCGTTTAGAATGGGAAATTTGCAAGAGATAGATCTAACGGTCTGGCGGAAACACACCACATTTATGCCACTCATAGCCATACTCCATCATATCCCGTTGCATCGTTCACAAAATAATTCTGCTCTCTGCCAGTTACCCCGCAAGGTTGTCACTGTTATGTTCATCTACTTTGAAAAACGCTTGGACACAGCCCAGTCCCAAACGATGAAAACAAAGTTCCAAAGGAATCACAAGTTAGTCGCATGTACAATAAGCAGCAGTACTGTCACTCTTTGTCGCATGCCGGGGTGGAGGCAGTACATGAAATCATGATCGGCCGGTCATTAAAAATCTACGCGTTCGGTTCCAATTGAAATTTAGTCGCCATCAATTCAGTAAAAGCATCTCTCTGTTTTCAAAGGAAGGGTGCTCCCTCCCAAGTGCCCCCCCCCCTTTTCCAAGGGTGTGCACACACGCTCGCTCGCACGCACACACACACACACACACACACACATACACCACCACCGCCTTTTCAAAAAGCTGTATCCGCTCCTGGTGAAGAGCATTGTAAGTGCGACTGATCGGGATATTGCTGGACTGCTGCTGAAACTACCGACTTACCCACACTTATTCCACACTTATTCCACACTTATTAAAGATAAATGACACCGGTGTTCCAATGTTCTTTAACGACATAACTCGGCCTGCGAGGTACGCCTCATAGTACCCCCAGTAGGTTTCAGTTACTTGCAAAAATGACTACACTGATCAAAGTTATAAACATACAGGCATGCATGGGCCGTTGTATAAATCGATCTTTAAGTTGATAGAGGGCGGTGGGGTAGCCTAGTGGTTAAAGCGTTCGCTCGTCACGCTGAGGACCCGGGTTCGATTCCCCACATGGGTACAACGTGTAAAGCCCATTTCTGGTGTCCCCCACCGTGATATTGCTGGAATATTGCTAAAAGCGGCGTAAACAATTCTCACTCACTGACCATAAGGTGATCGTAACCCCCATACATTTAGAGAGATTGGCGACAGTGGTAACGCTAATGTCGTCCAACCCCACCCTGACTCAATACAAACAGCTGATAATATGCAGCACTGCCTCTGTTGACAGCGGACCCTCCCACCTGTCGGGACAACTACGCCACTCAATGCCGCAGTGGAATAACAGGGTATGGCTGTACTGACGGAGAATGGGGAAGCACCAACTGCCGTTTTACCTGCGGCCTTTGTGGTATGTAGCTATCAATAGGAAGCCTCCACCTATTCCAATTCAAAGTAGGCCCCAAGCTACCTGTACTATTTCACTAAACAACGTAATATTCAATTACATCCCACTCGCAATTACTTACAAATAGCTATACATTTGTTTGTTTGTTGTTTGTTTCTTTGTCTGTCAATATTCCAGCTATATGGCGGCGGTCTGTAAATAATCGAGTCTGGACAAGACCATCATGAGCATCGGTCTCCGCAATTGGAATACGATGACATGTGTCAACCAAGTCAGTGAGCCTGACCACCGGATCCCGTCAGTCCCCTCTTACCACAAGCATGGGTTGCAGAAGGGATGTGTGTGTGTGTGTGTGTGTGTGTGTGTGTGTGATATGCTGCCGCAAACATTTCTTTGTGAAGGATATTTCTAAATTTGATGCCAAAGTGGAAATATATGTCCGATGTAATTTCTTATTTTGACTTTAAAGGTTCTGACGATGTTAGCCTCGCTGAATTACTCTGCATTTCACACACTATCAAGGCACACGTTTTTATTAAACAGGAAATGAGTGCATAGACAGGGTATCATCGTGCAGTTCTCGACCAAAGGAAATGTGTCAGGGATTTTACGAAGAATGGGCGAGGAACAACTGTGCTTTGTCATGTGGATTTTGCAGTAAGTGCTCAACGATATTTTTTTGAAAAGCACACATTTCTAAATTCCTCTCTTTTGCCCTAAAAAGAAAGTGTAAGTTAACTTAAAGGAATTCCAAAATCTTTGGTGATATGTTTCATCACATCAATTTAATACTCGTACCAATTCTATTTTAAATTAACATTAATATGATAAAACAGAAAGTGACATTTGACTATACGTTCTTCTGCTTAAGCAATTTAGTCGAAACTGTTTTAGGTTAAATATGCATTTCACCTTTTTTCCAGACTCTACCTTGACACTGACACCAACGAAACCGCCGACCCCATTGCCGGTTGGGAAATGAGGATCAGAGACATGTGGATTGTTCCTGTATCACCTAATTTTTGGTTAAAAAGTAATTGAGCCTCAAATGTTTTGTCTGATTTGAGAAAAATATAAATCATGCATGATTGTCCAAATTTGGAGGTGTGTGGTCTTGTGTATGGAGCCCTGGGCCCCGTTCCTAAAGCGATCGTAGCGCTACGACTATCGTACGTCTATGTTAAAGTATGGGAGTTACGATCATCGTAGCGCTACGATCGCTCTGAGGAACGGAGCCCAGGTCACAAATCAGTTGAAGTTAGGCAGCGTTGGTCACGACTGACTGACTGACTGAGTTTGGTTTTACGCCGCTTTCAGCAATATTCCAGCAACATCACGGCGGGGGACACCAGAAATGGGCTTCACACGTTGTACCCACGTGGGGATCGTTGGTCACGAAGAGGGCTTGAATGGATGATCGTGTTTGGCAGCTTGACTCCTGAGAGTTTGCCCCACAACGAAGCACACGAGACACATGTTGGTCTCACTTTAGGCAGATGCGTTTGTTCAAAATTCCCTCTGTTCACCCAACAGAAACTGGGTACCCGGTGGGATATTATCATTCTAGCGCCTGGCAGGTAGCTTGGGTTTTCGGGGTAACAATGTCTATCATGTTGTATGCGCTTAAAACATCCCCGTGTATCTTGGAGTTCAGCGCTATTTAGTGACCTTACTATTAAATGCAGTATTAAGTTTTAGGCGTTTTAATATCGGAAAATTTATCCTCTATTCAAATCCCACTTTACCATCATATATCGGGCATGGACCATTAAATGCAACCTCAGTCGTAAAACAAACCATCGCCTTTTGAATGCTAATAACTTGTATGCTGCTAAGAAGAGCTTACACTGTACCCTTATTTTGAATTTAGGCTTGTAACATCACATGAAAATTCCAAACAATGCGTAGAATATCAAGTTGCATTATTCATTACAAACAATATGTCTCTCAACAGTGAGTGAGTATGGTTTTAGCTCGGCGGGGGACACTAGAAATGGGCTTCACACATTGCACCCATGAGGGGAATCGAACCGGGTCTTCAGCGTGACGAGCGGATGTTTAACCATAAGGGTACCTCCACCGCCCCATATTTCAACAGTGTTAAACATAATTAACAAAACCTTTCAATAATCATAAGAAAGTCCATTGTACGGTCCAACTATGCCACGAACATGCGTTTTCTGAAAACGAAAATAGTATGTAAAAAGCTGGAACTCACATCAATAACATCTCTCATCCGTGAAGATGCGTCATCCGTCAGAATTAGTGTTCAGTAACCCATGCTTGTCGTAAGAGGCGACTAAGGGGGTCGGGTGGTCAGGCTCAATGACTTGTTTGACACATGTCATCGTATTCCAATTGCGTAGATCGATGCTCATGCTGTTGATCACTGGATTGTCTGGTCCAAAGTCGATTATATAAAGACCGCCGCTGGAATATTGCTGAGGACAGCGTTAAGGAACAAACAAACAATAACATCTCTGTGCGTTTTGTTTGTTGGAGAGTTGTTGGAGTATAGATCTTTAATGTGTTGTCCATTAAAATGTGCCACTCCTTAAAGTTGGTTTAAATTCTTGGAATCACCTGGCATGAAAATATACAGGGTGTTTTTCATCATCATCAGAGTGTGTTTTTTATGATCGCCAGGGTGTGTTATATGAACGACAGGGTGTTTTTATAAACGTCAAGGTGGTATTTTATGTTCATCAGAGTCTTTTTATAATCGCCAGGGTGTGTTTTATGAACGACAGGGTATTTTTCATGATCATCAGAGTGTTTTTATGATCGCCAGGGTGTGTTTTATGAACGACAGGGTGTTTTTTATGATCATCAGAGTGTTTTTATGATCGCCAGGGTGTGTTTTATGAACGACAGGGTGTTTTTATAAACGTCAAGGTGTTGTTTTATGATCATCAGAGTCTTTTTATAATCGCCAGGGTGTGTTTTATGAACGACAGGGTGTTTTCTATGGTCATCAGAGTGTATTTATGATCGCCAGAGTATTTTATTATGATCATCGAGATGTTTTTTATCATCGCCAGGGTGGGTTTTTCATGATCGCCAGGATGTGTTTTATGACCGCCAAGCTGTTTTTTATGCCGGCCAGGGTGTTTTTATGATCATCATAGTGTTTTTATGATCACCCGGGTGTTTTTATGATCGCCAATATGTTTGTTTTTATAATCGCCAGGGTGTATTTTATGATCATCAGAGTGCTTTTTATGATTGCCAGGGTGTTTTTTATTGTGATCGGCAGGGTGTTTTTTATGATCACGGGGTGTGTTTTTTATGATCGTCGAGGTGTTTTTTTATGATCGCCAGGGTGTACTTTTTGATCATCAGAGTGTTTTTCTATGATAACCAGGGAATTTTTATGATCGCCAGGGTGTTTTTTTATTATGGCCAGAGTGTTTTTTTATGATGGCCAGGGTGTTGTTTATGATTGACAGGATGTTTCTTATGATCAATCGAATGTTTTGCTATGATCGCCAGAGTGTGTTTTATGACCTTCAGAGTGTATTTTTATGATGGCCAGGGTGTTTTTTATGATGGCCAGAGTGGTTTTTTATGATGGCCAGAGTGTTTTTTTATGATGGCCAGAGTGTTTTATTATGATGGCCAGAGTGTTTTTTTATGATCGCCAGGGTGTTTTTAATGATCATCAGGGTGTTCTTTATGATCGCCAGGGTGTTTTTTTTATTATCAATCAAATGTTGTTGTTTTTGTATGATCGCCAGGGTGTTTCTGTGTTTTTAGGATCGTCAGGGTGTTTTTTTAAAATTCAAGGTGGTATTTTATGTTCATCAGAGTCTTTTTATAATCGCCAGGGTGTGTTTTATGAACGACAGGGTATTTTTCATGATCATCAGAGTGTTTTTATGATCTCCAGAGTATTTTATTATGATCATCGAGATGGGATTTTTCATCGCCAGGGTGGGTTTTTTATGATCGTCAGGATGTGTTTTATGACCGCCAAGATGTTTGTTTTTGTAATCGCCAGGGTATATTTTATTGTGATCGGCAGGGTGTTTTTTATGATCACCAGGGTGTTTTTTTATGATCGTAGAGGTGTTTTTTATGATCATCAGAGTGTTTTTTATGACCACCATTATGATCGCCAAGATGGTTTTTTATGATTGCCAGGGTGTATTTTATGATCATTAGATCATTTTCTATGATAACCAGGGAATTTTTATGATCGCCAGGGTGTTTTTTTTATTATGGCCAGAGTGTTTTTTTATGATCGCCAGGGTGTTGTTTATGACCATCAGAGTGTTTTTTATTCTCATCAGAGTGTTTTTTTATCATGGCCAGAGTGTTTTTTTATGATCGCCAGGGTGTTTTTAATGATCATCAGTGTTTTTTATGATCGACAGGATGGTTTTTTTTATGATCAATCAAATGTTGTTGTTTTTGTATGATCGCCAGGGTGTTTCTGTGTTTTTAGGATCGTCAGGGTGTTTTTTATAATCGTTTTTGCATTCCTTAGAAAACTCAAAATGAGTCCTCACTGCGACTCATTATAGCAAACAAAGCGACATTAATATGATCGACTATTTGCCTGACAGACACCATGCTGCACAATATATGCATTAACTTCAAAACCAGTTGTCAATATAGGTCAAGTCAACACTCAAGTCCTTATTGCCACGTGTTCAGTGGTCGTGTCGGCCATTTCTAATTCCGTACTTGATCGCGGCAACACACTGTGGCTGACTGGACTGTGTGTTCTTAACGGGAATTGCACAACTAGTGATGACAGTATTCAAATCAGTTTACTGTGGCAACACTGCACTGGATAATACTGATGGCCATTTTCAGCATCATGTCAGTTGTCTTTAGAGGAACTACTTTTTCGCTGTACAGCTGGCTGTTTTAAACTGACTGACTAACTGAGTTTGGTTTTACGACACTTTTAGCAATATTCCAGCAACATCACGGCGGGGAACACCAGAAATGGGCTTCACACATTGTACCCATGTGGGGATTCGAACCCTGGTCTTCGGCGTGACGAGCCAACGCTTTAACCACTAGGCTACTCCACCGCCCCTGTTTTAAACAGATGTTACGCATACGTACAAATTCATACACCCTTCGATGTGCCAAACAGATTACAGGGGCAAGGGTGTGAGTAAGTGAGTATAGCTTTACGTCGCCTTTAGCAACATTCCAGCAATGGAATCAGGAAATGAACTTCACTCATTGAACCCATGTGTGGAATCGGACTTTGGTCTTCGGCGTTACAAGAACGCTTTAACTGTTAGTCTCGCGTACAGTCTTTTCGGGTCCAGAGAAGTAAATCACCCTAATTATGCACTGGACAGTGCAAGCGGAGTGAGCTGAGTGAGTTTAGTTTTACGCCGCTTTAAGCAATATTCCAGCAATATAACGGCGACGGAACCAGAAAACGTTCTTCACATATTGTACCCATGTGGGGAAACGAACACCCTGTTGTTCCTGTTGTATATTATGTTTGAATGGGTGATATTTAAAGTGGCTTTGAGGAACTATTTGTATATACATCCACCTAGCTTCCTATCAGTTGTATAAGTTCTAATTCAGTCCTTGTATGATCACCCTTCTGGCTTCCAATCAACTTACTCATCTCTTATACAAGCGTAGTACATCAACCTCATTTATTGTATAAACAAGATTCCCTATCTACTGTAATAACAACACATGTATGTATTCTCTCAATTTGTTACTTATGTATCAACGTCGTCATATGAGCGAAATATTCTCAAGCACGACGTTAAACCCAATTTCACCTCACCTCATGTATCACTTGCTTGACAACGACATTGGAATCTATGTCGAAGACTGTTTTGAATCACTTCATAATCTACTGATTCACTCAGCACTTACTCTGGGTGTCGTTGAAAAGTATTTAGAAGTTGGAGCAGCAGGGAAGGATAACACTTGCTAGACGAACAACTTCTTTATTACAGTGAGTGAGTGAGTGAGTATGGCTTTACGCCGCTTTTAGCAATATTCCAGCAATATCACGGCGGGGGACACCAGAAATGGGCTTCACACATTGTGCCCATGTGGGGATTCGAACCCGGGCCTTCGGCGTGACGAGCGGACGCTTTAACCA